TCAAAATTCGATGTCTTTCTGTTATATACCCTGTTTCACGTGTACTCTGTTATTGTGCACATCTAGTTTTTGACAATGCTCTTTGTGCACAGCCAGCATCCTGTCTTCTGTAGGTGTTAAACACAGCTTTATAAAAGAGCACATACTCTGACGGTTCTCAGAACATCTCATCGCTTCTTTTTTGGTATCTTCTGGCAACCTTCAGTAAAATTAAAGCTGCACTATAGAGCGAAAAAGGAGCAAAAAAACAGGCTAAAGCATCGCTGTTGTGAGTCACCCTGTAAAACCTGAAATAGTCATTTAAAAGTCAGAGATATCGGATCAGCTTTCACAGGGGTGCAATTTTCAAATCGCAAGAGCTGCAATTTTAATTAGAGCCATTTCTTATTAACAATGTTTTCTTAACTGGGGAACATTAACCTAATATCAGAGCTTGTAAACTGCCTGTAGATGAGTTAGACCAATTCGAAGCAACCAAATAACTATATGCTGTGACATCACAAACACAACTAACTCGCAGTCTGGCATGTTCAGTGTTCAAGTCTCAAGCCTGAAAAAGTGGATGTTCTTGTCTTCTTGGCCAGAATAACAGGCCTGGACTTGCAATCTAAGTCGCAGTTGCACCATCGATCAGAAAAAATCGCAATTAGATATTTTTCCCGAATCCTTCAGCCCTAGCAGATATGATGACAACAACAGAACATTCACATCAAGGAAAAACCCTTACCAAAGTTTTGATACAGTTCCCTTGGAATACTCTTGGATCATTGGATTCAACCCCGCTCAGGGGTCCAAAGCACAACCCATGTTCCAAAATGTTCTAACACACATTGTGTTTCCACCAGAGAGGTTTAAAATGTGTGTAGTGTGGCTTTAAGCTCTTAGTTCACTGTCATTGTGTATCTAGCCCTTTTAAACAATTACAACCCAAAATCATTGGACTTGTGCAATAGGCTTGGGTTAGGAGGCTTGCATCCAAACAGTTTGCTTTGTGATCTCAAAACCCCTAGCAACAAGAAAGAATAAAGTGACTGATGGTGATCAGAAGTTTAGAGCACGGTTGCAGGGGATCTAACTGAGAATAAACTCCTTTCCTGCCTGTACAGAGTTCTCAGTTCCTTGATTCCTTCAGCATCCAATCTAAAGATTAATGGGACAAAAGATTGCAGCAGTCACACCCAATTCTGTGCATGTAACAGATGCCCACCTTTGCCTATCATTGGTATGTATTGCCATAAAGAAAAGAGAGAACATAGGCTACATTTACACAGCAGGTAAAAGTGGCCCAAATCTGATTTTCTCATCAAATCCGATATTTTTGTTTGGCTGTTCACATTATCTTTTAAATGTGAACTGTATGCGACATCAGTCTGAACAGATCAGCTCCTAAACTGACCCGCATGCACAAAAGAATAATGCTTCACAGTGTTTCACATATCTCATCCAGAGGTAAACAATTATGACTATGAACAAACAGTTTCAGTTTCATCTTCACCAGCATCACAGTAGCGACCATGAAATTCTGATTGCTGACAGCTGGGCTCATTGCCCAAAATGTGTTCAAGCTCGCTTAAAAAAAAAAAAAAAGCATGCTTTCAGACTTTTAACTGTTCCTTGACGCTGCAGCCTCATTTTCCTACGGCTGCGTTCGGTCATTTCTCTCTAAACCTCTTTGAACACAGAAGTCTCTTCTAATTTTATAGTACAGAAACATCAGCCTAAATGTTTATGAGGTCTCAGCAGCGCGAAATGATGACGAATGTCGAGCTGGTTGACGTAAAAGTCGCTTGAATTCCGATCTGGCTGTTCAGACTGAGCCACGGTGCTGCAGACCGGTTAGGTATCAGATTTCAGTACCACTTATGAAAGCGTCTCAAATCAGAATTGTCAGATTCGGTGTGTTTTTTGCTGTTCACACTGACACACAGATACACAAAAGATCAGATTTGGGCCACTTTTACCTGCTGTGTACACGTAGCCATAGTCTACCGACATCGCTGGTAGGGTTATCTACTAAGAACTTCCATGCAAATGAACACATGTGCAACTTCAGAATCAAAATATCATCCCAATATGGTTCACATTCTATTTATATGACAACCAGAAGCTAAAAGGCCATTGCACCTATATGGTAAATCACAACACTGACTTTTTAACACCAAAACAGGGTCTGCAATGGCACAAAATGTTCGTAAATCTGCTCTGAAGCTAACCTTCCGATGGCAAGAGAGAAGGGCCGATTGTGCTCCTGTAGATGGTGGTGGCATTGCTGGGAAACTTGGTCTTTGCCAACTGTCCCACTCATGGACTGTGATTGTTTATGTTCACTGAAGTCTAGAGGGACTGTACAAGCTAGAATATTTAACATTAAACTACATGGTCCAGCTGTGTTCGGAGTGTCTTCAAGCTAGTGCTGACCACCGAGTCTAATGCTTATGATTTACACTGAAGATCAGGCGTCCAAAAACTGTGGAGGATTAAACATCCGTAATGGCGATCATCATTTCCTTATATAACATCCTACTCTTGCAATGTCGTCCAACAAGAATGAAAAAAGAGCAAACAAGATTATTCATTCTCCCAGGGGTCAGCGGGTGTGCTGGTCCAGCTGGGGTACTGCGCAGAGTGTTGATTTCCTGCCGGTCAGTGAGATCTTGTGAGGATTTGGTGCTCTCGCTCCTAGGGAAGTACAGAAGAGGCACACCTCTCAGCGGAGTGTTTACAAAAGATCCCAATCTCCATCAAAGACGCCTCCCCTCGTAAACAGACGCATTTGCGCAGACGCGCTCACGCACTCGCAAGTTCTGACTATACTGTATTCTAAACAAACAACAACTCTCTCTCTCTCTGAGGGGGGCTGTTTTTTTCCCTCGTTTCTGTTTCCTTCTGCCTGGCAGCCTCCGAAGTTTTCCTCACAGCCTGTAAACTGCGGCTTTTGCAGAACTATTTGGCCCCGAAACCTGACATGCGAAAGCAAACAGCCGTCTTTCTCCAGAGCTCTGAAAAGCGGGAACAGCCGCTCGCTGCCTGAGAGCGAACGAGGCGTTCGCGACATATGCCAACCATACACACTAACACAAACACGCTGCACACCCACACGTGGTTCACTTTAGCGCTAACCCAGAAGCAAAGAGAGGCATTCATCTTTGTCAGTCACTCTTTGTGGAAACAGGAACGTACCGCATTATGTGACTGATATCACCAGAGTAATGTTTGGAAACAGAGCAAATGAAATGCCACTGGGGACAGTCTGTGCAGCAATGACATCACTTTTCCTGAGAAACACTGATGATTCATTACTGTAATGTACTGTAATTTCAGATTGTGCATATCATGAACTAATGGCAATGACTGTCATGTTTACTTCAGAGGTTTACCGCATCACAATTCAAAAACTGTTTGTTCATGCTGAAGGGAATAGATCTGCTAAGTTACTGTATCTCAATCCAATCTAATTTACACAATTGCCCTTCCCCCATATGCACTGAGGCTAACGCTGCTAACAAACAACTGTTTATAAATAAAAAGAACAATAATCATGAATGTAATCTAGCGTACGCCTGACATGCGAGTATATGAAGTCGGATTCTGCAGGGTTTGAGTGGTTTGAGTAGATCTAGAGAGAGGTTTCTGAGATGTTTTTATGGAAAAGTTTTGGGTGACTATTGACATCCAGTGTTTGTCAGCAATGTTACTCTTAAAGTGTCAGGACTAAACTAAAAAAGCAAAATTTGGACACCAAACACATCTTGGCTGGAGCAAGTGGAAAATTGTATACATTGTATACAAGTGTGGAATAGAGGTTTAGATTGGCCATTAAAGGGGCTAATCCAGCTAAACAGCAATGGAAGCTTATATACCACCAATTAACACAAACAGTATGCCTAAATCATCACACACGACAACATTAAAAACAGCTACAAAGTCTGATTTTTGTTTCTGCTGTACTCCACTACCACTTCAACTGGATGTTCCAGTGAATAACACTGCAACTATCCTCCCATGATTGTATGTATGGTGCCCTGCTCTGAAAAACAAATTCAGCCCAGTCACTAAACTCATGGTCCACTGCCACCTCTCTGATCTTTTGCATCAGCAGGCTACAGGCAGAATGCTACGAGGCAATGTAGACTTCACAATGAGTAGCCACTACAGAAAAGTCCCAACAGAAAACCCCAAGCAACCAAGGCTAGCAGGGCGATCTTGTCTGCTCCTCCAGTTGCCACATCCCCACAGGATCAGAGTCCAATTAAGCGGGCATTCCTGGCATGCTTGCAGAGGGATGAAAAGAGTTAAGCATTTAGCCGCCGCCCCTCTCCCTTCACTGCCCTCCTCCCTTTTCCCTTTAAGTTAGTTTACTTTTTTCACCCTCTCCCTTGATGTTTAATTGGTCTCTGAGTGTGGGGATAATTTCGAGGGGACGTTTAAGGAGCATGTCTGACGACTGTGCCATGGGCTCGACATCTCATGACCTTCTGGAACAGCAAGGAAAAGGTTGCATAGGGTCACTGCACTAATGAGATTCTTTGCGTAACGTGGGGTCCCTAGGAAATTGCAGACTCTTGACCCTCAAAAGTCCTTCTCCAATCAATGCCCAATCAGACACAGCAGTACTTGACACACTAGTGGGAAGCCAAAAGAAAACAACTAAACAGAATGTTGATCAGAATTCTCCAGGAGGAGGGAAACAGGGCCCAAGATTGCCTAAACATACCCCTATAAAAACAACACAACAGATGGCTATATTATCCTGTAGACACTCTTAGTGTAACCCAGCATCTTGATTCTGCAGGTAATGTACATGTAAAAAGGTGAATCACTGGTTGACCTAGTTCGATATAAGGAAGCAAACAGATGCAAATCATTAACATACGATCGGCACATCCACCGGTGTAAACAAGCCGCGAATCCTCCCAGATTAAAGTGCTCCACAAGACTCCTAAACTTCAACTGCAGATCCACTCTGCGGAGCCCTAAACAGGAGAGCGGAGTTCACTCACCGGTCTTGTGGATCTCGTAGCGCAGCGAGAAGCCAGCACCCTGGTGAGCGTAATCAGACACGAACTTGATGTGGAGGACAGGGCCAGAAGAGATGATGGCAGGGGGAGCGATGTTGCTGCAGTGCTTCCCCAGCAGGTCGGCTGAGTCTGAGTTGCCATCTCTTATCTCTATAAAGTCATACCTGGAAAGACAATGAAGACACTGGTTACTGTTACTGCTGATTCATTTTACATTCAGGCCTGTCACTTAACTCATGGTCCAGTGGTACTCACAGTTCACATCACCAGACTGACAGCAGAATGACTTTAGCTAGCTTATACTTCATTCAGAATGTGGCTAATACGTCCTATATAAAAGTGAGTGGAGCAACAAAACCAGCCGTGAAGCGGTTGACAGTCAAATCGAGCATTAACAAAACAAAGCTTTTCAGAAAAAAAAACTAGACAATGCAAGGCACAGCCTTTTCAAATAATAGATGGAAAACACAGATGATGCTTGAACAAAACCAGAACAAACAAGCATTTTGTTTACAAAGAACGTCTAGAGCCGACACTTATGTGACAAGCTTAAAGAGTCAGCAGGGAAAACAAAAGAACACAACCTCAGACTGTATGAAACGTGCCACAAATTGATTTGAATTCAAGAGAATTTAGGAGAAGTTTATTTGAAACTGACCCGAGGTCACCTTTGACCCTCCGTAACCTGTTGCCTTCCCACAACAAACACACATTCTTGCTTGTCACTTCAGAAGCTGAAGACAAAACCCAGCTGTCTCACCAATCTCATTCTGTCTGCTGCCATGCTGTCCCAAAATATCCATTCTGGTATATAACTGACAACCTAAAAATGCTCAGAAATCTATTTATGCTAAAGAGGCACAAATGCAAGATTGCACTGCCTTGTCGTAAATCTTGGTTGAAGTAAACTAATTTAAAGAATGCTTTTGGACACAACAGCAGTTCTTGAACCAGTTAACCTCCAAACTCCAAAATCCAACCCAGCAAACAGTCACCGTGCCTCTACATCCAATTAGCCACGTTTCAAAACTAGACTGTCTCCCAGTCTTGAATGATGAGGGATCCATAAAACCTTTCTCCTGTTAGTCAATAGTATATATCCATTGATCGTTCAAGATAACATCTTTCAAAGCCTCAGGGCCCAAGAATGAAGTCAATTTACATAATTAGCTCAGGTCTGAGGACATTTCTCTCCAAAGTTTGCCAGAAATCGAGGGCAGACAAAACCTGTCATTATGTATAATGTAATGGCCTGTTTATTGCTAACTGCAGAGACCAGCTTACAAATGTTTAAGGGGTTATAGGCACCTTTGTCTGGGCTAGTTTAGTTTGCTTTTTCATTCTGATGTCCCTGACTGTAGCTTTCAACCAAAGGTGTTCTTTGTCCACTCCCTACTAATTAGCCAAATGTTTGAAACCAGACTGCATCCGAAAGTATTGAAAAAGCCCAGTTAAGGAATCATCAATCATTTTCTCTGTTAATTTATTGTAATGTCCATTTGTTCTTTAAAGTAACAACTTTCAGGAGCTTCACGTCCCAAACCCAGCTATAGTTTTCAATCATTAACTTCAATAAGAAGAGTTCAAAGCTTTTTAACAGTAATACCTAGATGGCACCATCTGAACATTTTATTATGCTTTAGTGTCATTGACTGTTTAGTGGTAACTGTAGAATGGTAACTATGAATTTTTAAAGCAGGGCTACTAAAAGGAAGGCCCTTGAGCCAAAGCTGGACTGGAAGGACGTTTGACTTGGCCCACCATAAGGATGCCTCCACCATCCCTCAATGAATTAGACAACAAATATTTTTACATTTCTTTACATTTTCTTCATTTTAAACGAGATTTGACAACAGAAGGTTTAAAGATGATTTAAAGACGAATCTTCATGTGTAATGAAACCACATTATTTAAAGTAGTTAAAAAAAAACACTAGATTGGTCAATATTGCAAAAGCACACAAACTTTCCAAATTTGTCCATGCATACTGATGATGTGGGCTAATTTGAAAAAGCTGTTTTACCTTTTGGCCCTTGTCCCACCAAAACCATTACACTTTGCCCCCATTAGATGAAAAGACTGTGCACCCCTCTTTTATAGGGACACATTCTTTTTCAAACCAATGAGGTTCTCAGAAGATATCAGTAATTTAGTGGATCTGCTTTATCATGTACTGCAGTAACTGAGGATCTGTGCCGATTGAGATCCTTCTTCCATGTCGTTTTGCAGCAGGCCAGTGCGCTCACAGGCCTGTGGTCAGTGCTCTGACGAGGCCAAAACAGGATAAAGTCATAATGAGGCACCTTTCTAACCTTCTTCCCCCCTGTTGGTACACAGTCATCTGTTGGCCGGGTGCATAACTGCCGGCTCCACGTCAGCCCGGGAATGTGTGTGCATGTGTGTGTGTGGGTAAACCTGACACTGCATTAGGCCTCTTCGTCTGACATAGAGGCACAGGTGTGGTGGTGGTTTGCCCACTCTGGATCCCTCCAGCCGTCCGCATGCTTAGAGACCTCAGGTAGGCTGGAGCAAATTTAGACCTGGGACTAATCAACTTTCAAGATGTTCTGCCTCAAAGTGGATAGGATACTGACACACATATGCGCACATATTCTACAGTTACGGATCTTGCTTCTAGCCCTGGGGCCCCCAGCAGTGCTGCTTCAAATTCTCCCTTCTGAAACTGCTTTGAAAGTGCATTGCAAAAGTCAGAGACCACCCTTCATTTATTTAATGTCCTGTCAAAATTGCCATCAAGTTATTCATTTTAAGGCGATACTTCTGTGGTAATCCACTAGCACAAGAAAGGGGAGCCTCAAAAGAAAATAAGTGAACAAAACAGGAGTTTCCAAAACTGGAGTTTGATTAAATTATTAAAAGATGTAGAGAAAACCTGCTGTGAGACCATCTTTGAGAGATAGGAGAAAATCGAGCTCTGCTCTTGCTTCAGATCTGAAAAAATCCACAGGTGTTCCTGTCCATTCTTCTACTGTGAGAAGATAACACCTCTGGACTGAAAGAGTAAGTAGCTCTCAAAAAGCCCTCACTAAAAAAAAAGGAAATAGACAAAAAGAAGGAAATTAGCAAATCCAACAAAGAAGTTGCTGGTGTTGAATACAATGGACTGACCACCCCAGAGTCCAGACCTCAACATCACTGAATGTGGGATTACTTGGAACATGAGATGCACAAGGTGCAACTAACTTCTAAGACTTCTAACTTGGAGGTGTGTAAAATATTTTGCACCATATTGTGATTACATACCTGCAGATTGCTGTTGTAATCTTAAGTTAAAGGTGGTTATTTGTAGTTATACCATAGAAGAACCACTTTTGGCTCCTTTGACTAAGACTTATGACCAAGATGGAGATAAATAGACGTCCGGGCTGCCTGTCTAGTGCTGATGGAAGCTAACTGGTGGGGAATGTTGTTAAGAAACTGGATCTTTCTGTGAGTCATGCGTGTACAATTGTGTCAGTATCTATATGAGGGGTCCAATAAAGGTGTTAGGAGGCCCAGTCACCGGGAACCCCTCTGCTCCGTCAGTAGTTACATCCCTGAATCTATATGAATTTTCCTATAACAGTACAACCATACAAAGAGCCATTTGGCATTTTACTTATAAGAATTTATATACAAAACTGCATTATTTTGACCAAAATAATGCACAGTGTGGACTTTATCCACAAAAACACTCATACAATCTCATCTGAAACATCAGATTAATTAGAATGCTCAAAGTAATCTGGCAGTCGTTCACTGGCAATACTGGAGAGGGTAATCAGGAGAGTCAGGAGAATACCTGGTGGGCTGGTAACATTTTGGACTAATATATATAAACTCATGAATATAAACACAAGAATGCACAGACAAACCGAGGATGTTACAACCACGTCTATACTAGTAATAATTTAGGGGTTAATCAGAGGCCCTCTCCTCAAGTGGTTTGCTGATTCCAATTGGTAAGCTAATGAGTCTCATAGTATGGGCAGCAATAGTGTTCAAATTTGGTGGAGCTGAAAAGTTTTAAACCTCTGCACTACGAAAGAAATGTCAAGCCAACTTTACTTATTTAATGTAAAGTTTATTTTAGCTTCATTAGACAGAAGTCTGGCTTTATTATCTTAAAAAAATTCCAAATCATTGCTTTGTTAAAATAAGTAAAGTTGTCTTGAAATTTCTTGTTCCATAGTGGAGAGTTTCTAAACTTTCCAAAGCTAGCTGATTATATATTCTCAAATGTAAAAAAAAAACCCACACAATTTTAAGCAATAAGGTGTTGAATTAAGACTGTCTAAGTTTCTCTAGTATTGATTATGAAGGTTGTTCATTTTCTCATTTTAAGAAATCTTGTACCAAATAAGGTTTCAAGAAAATGTTTAAAACAAGATTGATGCTAGTTTTTGCTAATGTTGGATTACAACACTAGATCAAAATAGTGTTAATTAAATTTACAATGCTTTGAATCAATGAAATATTTACTGAATTTTGGATTATTAGATAATTTACAGATCTTTTTTCTTAATTTAGGCACTACCCAAGTCAAATTTTCTCATCAAAACTGCAGATATTCTTGTTTGATTCAGGGAATCTTTTCATTATTTTTTCTTGATGTTTTGCAGTGCCTGGATCATATGAAGATGCAAAACAGTGAAAAAAAAACCCACACCATGGAACCAAGAAGGCGAGAATCAACACAGTGCTTGAGGAGGATGCTCTGAACTGATCTAACATACAGGCTATATCTGAGCAAGTGGGCAGAGGGAAATGCTGACAGGAGCTTATATCATTATTTTGTAGCATACTGACTGTCAGGATTATGTCAAATTTTAGATTCAAGCATTGTGGGTATCACTTTATTTGAAGGCTACCCACATAGGGACTTTATTACACATACATAAGCACTGAATAACACATTTATAAAGCAATACTAAAGTATTTGTAACCAGATTTTGTGATCACAACTTTATGCCATATGATGTTTCATAAAGTAAATGACTGTATATTGACAAAAGGGGCCATAAACTAAATTGACAAACATTTATTCTGTTTATAACAGTGTTATGAAGCATCGTTCTCAAATAATGTCTTTTATAAGGTGGATGCCAGTTAAAAACACTAAAGTAGTTGTATATATTTCTACTTAAGTTAAAGTGCATACGTA